AATTACTACATCTTTACATTCGATCCTAGTCTAGCATAGTAAACATAGATAACTGGAATTTATCACATACAAGTAAGCAATTGCAAGTATTATCAATTAAGCACATGGTCACATACTTCATTTACAACACATTATTCATTTTGGAAGAATATTAACAAAATCAACATGCAAATCAACAAATTGAGAGGAAAATTCACAAAAGAACAAGAAGTTCTATGGATTAGAAACCCCTACCTCAAAATTGAGCAAAACCCTTGAAATGGGTCAAGAATTTCGAAATTCAAAGGGAGCACCAAATCTGAAATTGTTGGTACTTACGCGTAGAGCTCGTCGTACTCTTCGTTTTGACATAAACGGTCCTAAAAAATTCCAAGTATTGAAGATGGGATCTAACTTCAAAGTTTTAATTAAAAAAGAAAAAGAAAAAGCAAGCTTGAGAGAAGGAAAGAAAGACCAGCGGGAGAGAGAGGAAGAAATGAGAGACCAATATGGTCTCTTGGCCTTAAGTGGTTTAGTGGTGGTTCCCACCCATTTTCTTTTCTTTTCCTTTTTTCTTTTGTCCCAATTTTACACCACATGCATCTATGAATACACATTTAACATGAAGTCACTTAAAACATAATAAATAAAAATAATTACGATGTAAATGGACCCAACCAAAATACTCGTACGCGACAATATCGGTAATGGGTTCCACACGGGACCGTCCGGCCCGAAAAACGATAAAAAATGCGAAAATGATCAATCTTGCGTTCCCAAGAGTCTTAGACTCAATGGAATGCCTCAACTAACCATCCGACATACCCGGCACACCACCTGGTGTCCGGTACGCGAAACGTAAAAGGACGAAAATACTCTTGCATCAACGGAAAATTCCAGAAATTGGAAAATGGCAAAAATTGAAAACATCACAACTGGTAACATAAATGGTTGTTTCTCAACGTGGAAGGCTGATAGCATCTTTCAATACTTTGGACTTGTTTGATTTGTAACTCTGAAAATAGTTTCAAGAATTTAGAGAACATAAAACAGTTTGCAGAGAATAATAAAAAACAGTTATCTGAAAATAATCTTTTTATAACTAAATTTTCAGAAAACTGAATCAAGCATAGTTTTTTTTTAAAAAAATTTCTATTTTTAGTTTTATGAGAACAGCCAAAATTTTATTAAAAAAACATTATTACACTAAAAAAAATATTGGACATTTTTGCCATCTATTTTAATAAAAACTATTATCTGAAAGATTTCTTTAGATAAATTTATATATTTAAGATATATATATATATATTTTGGTCTCATATATTTAAGAATTTACATAATCATTGAAAAACATGAATTTTATTCACACAAAGTATACATTGGATATAATTATTAATTTTTTCTTGGTAATTAATTGTTTTAGACTTGAATCGTATTTACCTGTCACCAAAATTTAGTTGAATAAATTTCATGTTCATGGCATCGTTACTCTTAGGGCTAGTTTGGTGCGGTAGAATGGAATAAAAGAAAGTGGAATAGAACAGTTTTTCCGTTTTTTCCATTATTGTATTTAGTGCCAATTTTAAAGTTGGAATCATCATTACCCACTATTCTTGGAGAATGATCATTCTATCAAAATCATTTCACCTTCAAACAAAAGAAATGACCATTTCATTACATTCTCATTCCATTCCAATTTATTGCACCACACCAAACTAGTCCTTAGCAGCTTAAGAATAAGTCAATTAGTAGTGTTAATCTAAGGTACCATTAGGCTCTAGCCATGCATAGGCAGAGATGGAGTCGATGAAGGCCTAGGGGGGCACGTGCCTCTCTTGAGTTGGCCCGCACTCTATAATATATATAGTAATTTTTTAAATTTTTTCTATATATATGAAAAAATATATACAGTGCCCTCCTTTTGTGATTCTTAAAATTATCTCTTTATTTTTTATTTATTTTCTCTTTTACTCTTCAGATTTCTTAAATTTTCTTTATAAAAAAAGTCAAAATTTCCTTCCTCAATTGAAACCTTTTTAACTTTTTCCTTTTACTCTTAAAATTTTTCTTTCATTTTTCTTTTTCTACTTTTATTCTTAAAATTCTTCTTTTTAACGTGTATATTTGAATAATTTTCTTTTTCTTTGTCTTTTGAATTTTATAATTGTTATATTATATATTATTATTATTATTTGGCAGTATCCCCCCACCCCCTCACTTGAAATCTTGGCTCCGTCCATGGCTATAGGATGACTATGTTTAATTATCATATTGTGAAGCGCACACAGTGGCAGATATAATTGATAATCTGAACAAGGCTTTTAAAGCCTGAGATGTTTCAACATCTTTTAACCCATGTAGAAGTAAAGGCCATCTTTAATTTGCTGCCATTATTTTTTTTAACAAAAAAATAAAAAATAAACCTAGCTAGTGGCCTAATCGATAAAGCGCTTAACTTCCTGAATGGGTGTATCCGTATTTGAATTCTCATCCTCTTAATCTGTTAGGGAAATAAAAAAAAAAAATTGCCTCTTTTTCGTCAAATTAGCTTAATTATGACATCTCTTTTAGCTTTTTTTGTTGTTGGTATTTATGAAAAGCTATTAACCATTTCGTTGTTTTTAATGGGGAGCTGTGGAATGCTTCCATTGTTAGTTGATGCTACTACTCAGATTACTCTCCAGCCATCATCTTTTTTCTTAAGTCTTCAATTAAATTGTTATATCGATGGATAGGCCATTGGCCCTTTTGTTTCCCAGGCTTTTCAGGATTACTGTTGACAAACATGCTATGGTTGCTGACTGCTATCGCCTTGATAGCGGAAGGTTGTCTTGGGATGTGCGTTTCCGGTGAGCTTTTCAGGATTGGGAGTTGGATGATGTCATTTGGTTTTTGGCTCTCATGTACAGACAGGAGGTGGAGGGTACAGGTGCAGATTCCTTGATTTGGGTGCCTTCTTCTAAGGGGGTGTTCTAGGTCCGGTCCTTTTTTGTGTGCCTCTCTAGTTTTCATGGTACCACCTTCCCATGGAAGACGGTGTGGTTGTCTAAGGCGCCTCTTAGGGTGGCCTTTTTTGTGTGGACTATAGCTTGGAGTAAGATTTTGACTTTGGACAACTTGAGGAAGCGAAGGCATATCATTGTTAATCAATGTTGTCTTTGCAAGATTAATGGGGAGTTAGTGGATCATCTTTTGTTGCATTGTCCTGTGGCTCATGACTGTTGGAGTCTCATTTTTGGCTTGTTTGGTATTCATTGGGTCGTGCCTCGGACCTTTCAGGATTTGTTGGATATTTGGAGGGGCCAATGGGTGGGGGCTCAGGCGAGAGTTTTCTGGAGGGTGACCCCTTTTTGCATTTGGTGGAGCCTTTAGAAAGAGTGGAATAGAAGATCTTTTGATGGGAAGGAGTCCTCCATTGGAGTGCAGAAATTTTCTATTAATTGTACTCTTTTTTGTTAGGGTCGGGGGAGAGATTACTCTTCTCTCGAGGATATTGTTGACTTCATGGGCTCTTTGAGTTCATAAGTTCCGTTTTGTCTTTGTATAGATTGGGACGCGTTCTCCTTTTGAACGCTTTTTTAATACATTTTACTTAAAAAGAAAAGAAAAAGGAATGTAACAGAGGAGGTGGTGGTGCTGTGTTTTAGATATTGGTATATGGGTTGAAGCAGGAGAGCTATTTGCTTTAGCAAAGCAGTTTCGTGGACTTTGTCTGAGAATATTTCTAATGTTTGGTTTAAAAATTACTATATGATGTTATTATTGTTACGGATATGAACCTCCTTCTACTAACCGTAAAAGTCAACTCTTATTTAGAGTTAAATTTCTGAACGAAAAAATATCCACACATGATACAATATTTTACAAGATTCTTTTAGTCACAGGGCTACATTCATCAAATGAGATTCTTCCACTATAACGAATTAAAGAAGAAAATATTTAATCCAATGTCAAAATCCCACTGACTCTCACTTATCACTCTTGAGAATGTCAAAACCCCACTGACTCTCACTCTTGAGTTTACATCTTTACACTCGGCTCTCCTCTTCTCACAACACTAACTCCTTACATATTTCTCCCCTCTCTACCTCTCACAACCCATCTCTATTTATAAAGTCTTCATACTCAATTCCTTGCTAAACAAAAATTCACCACGAAATCACCGTTCTAACTCATTACTAACAGATTCCAACAAAACTTGTAAAAGTCCAACTTCACTATAACACTATGTACACACTTAATTCGAACCACATAACCCAACAATCTCTATCTTGGCACGAGATTCGTGTTTGTGTGCTCTTTCATAAATGAATCTCGAATAAAAATCTTTCTATATATAGCTCCATCTCAATTGAAAGTTTCTCAACATTGAACCAAATACTATGACAAAATTGAAACACTCTAATAATTGCCATCCGGGATGTCAGAGCTGCACTTCATTGTCTGATTCCAAAATGGCAATGCTTAGTCTTTCCTCTGTTTGTATTAGCAATGTTTGAGACAACATTCGGCTTATTTTCTTGATCAGAACTGTTTTGATAATTTTCATCTTAATTATTGTATTCCTGTCTCTTGTTTGTCAAGTTAAAAAAATTATTTAATTATTATTATTATTTTTTTACGATTTTAATAGATAGATAGATTAAAATTTAACAAGTACTCTCTTAATTAGGAATAGATGGTGCAACTTTTCCTCTCAAAAGTAATATCTATCATTGTTACATGGTGCTAATTGTCAATAATAATTTTATTTTATTTTTTTTTCTTCATTTTATTAGAACTAAAATAAAAAATTAATTTTTTATTTATTTTAATACTACCGCATTGGGACTCCCATACTGTTGTTTCTTACAAATAAGAGGGCAATTTCTATAAATAGGTGAAAATCTAGAGAGTTTGTGCAATTGACCCGTTTTATATTAATTTTTTATTTATTTTAATACTACCGCATTGGGACTCCCATACTGTTGTTTCTTACAAATAAGAGGGCAATTTCTATAAATAGGTGAAAATCTAGAGAGTTTGTGCAATTGACCCGTTTTATATCATATAATAGTAATCTCTATTCGGAGAGAGAATGGAAGAACACAGGGACTCGAAACCCTCGCAAACCAAATCAAAGTTGATCTACTCCATTATTCTTCCTGACATGTAATTGAAGTTTCTATCATAAACACATACGTGTATATATATTCTTAATGTCAGCAATCATATTTATGTTGGTTTTCGAGTTGTCTGTGATCGATTTAAGTTTGATTGCAAGAAAGGCTTGAAGTTGTGATGATTTAGGTTATATTTTCGTCGCATATTTAATTTTTATTTTTGAAAAATTCCTAAAAATAACGAAGTTCGATTGGAGAATTGGAATCCCCAGAAAAACCATATATACATTGTTTTAATTATAGATATAAATTAGTATGCACGGCAATTTTTCAATTTTGGGAAATTGAGTAATCTCTCTTTTGTTCAGATGGCTTCACTGCAAGATAGTTTAAACAGATTCAAGAAGCAGCAAGAGAAATGCCAATCAACCCTAACCAGCATTGCAGCCAAAGCAGGGCCTTCTAGGGCGGCAGTAGCAAATCGAAAGGCCACACCCGAAAGGCATTCGACCATTGCAAAATCCCCTTCCCCTCCAATCAAATTCTCAAATGACACAGAGAGACTTCAACACATTAACAGCATACGAAAAGCCCCGGTGGGAGCTCAGATCAAACGTGTTATAGGCTTGCTTTTCGAGGTATTAATTTAATTATCATTTCTTGTATGACCATTGATATTTGATGATCATTATGTATTGCCTTTACCTATTAGAGTATGTGTGACTGTGTGACCTTTGAAATGTCATCATATATTGTGACTTGAAATGAATTGTCATTGTTTATAAACCAAACACACTGGAAAAAATATATGGGAGCTTGACTAGGTAGGATAGATGAGAGTAAAGATACATGGTATTTTTGTACACCATATACATTGGTAAGATGGATTTATTAGTCTATATGGTCTAATGAAAATTGCCTCTCTCGTAGCTTGAAATATTGGTTTTTACTTATCGTTGGCTGTGCTTTTTAAATTTCTATCATCAATTTGTAGATTGCAATTTGTGTTGCTCAGTTGTCTTTCTGTGATAGAAAATGTTCTATATATAATATATGGGTGATGGCTAATTAATTTCTCAAATCTGGTTGCTTATTTCGCTTGGAGTTCCTAATTGAAGACAAAGTCTGATCTTTCTGACAAATTCAGATTTAATTATAGTTTAGAAATTATTGTTTCACTTTGAAGTTGCTGCCTTTGGAATAATGCCATACTATGTTTGACTGAATCACAGTACCAAATTTGATACTTTGTAATGGTAAGAGTTGTCAAAATCTCCGAGACTTGATACATCCTGCAGAAACTGCACTTTTTTTTTTCTTCCTTTTTTTTTTGTTTTTTTGCTTCTTAGATTGTTTCATTGAATACAAATATATCATTGTTGTCATTTGAGTGCCTAGACCTCATGCTTGTAAATCTTGGCCACTTTCACTGCCATCGGTTGGTATATTTTCTTATAAGTGGTGAATCCAACTTTTGCTGATGTACTCTAAAACCTGCTGTGCGGGATTAAACATCTCCTGATTAATTTATTTCTCTGGCTGCAGACAAGGCAAGCCTTCACACCAGAGCAAATAAATGAAGCATGTTACGTTGATACAAATGCCAACAAGGCTGTGTTTGACAGTTTGAGGAATAACCCAAAAGTGAAATATGATGGGAAGCGCTTCTCTTACAAGGTAAATGATCTAATCTATGCACCAATGAATCCTCTTAGACAGGAAGACTTCTAGTATTTTTGCCTCCATTGTTTGCTAGGAAGACTTTTTTGTTTTTCTTCTCCTAATCTTTTTCTTGTAGGATGGTTACTTGGCTTTTTATTTGTTATAGTCCAAGCATGATCTGAAGGAAAAGAATCAACTTCTTATCTTAATACGGAAATTTCCAGAGGGTATTGCTATCATTGATCTCAAGGATGCTTACCCAACTGTCATGGAGGACTTGCAGGTAAATTCAATTCAATATGGTTTTAATTTTCTTGTTTTAGCACTGGCTAAGGCTAGCACATTTGCTTTCATGCTGTCTAACTTTTGTTACTATAATGATGATGTAGAATTATTGTTCTCCCTTTTTATGTTGTATTTATATGCTTTATTGATGCTTGATACAATTGTATTTTATTTCAATAAAAACAAGAGTGAATATTATATTTTTTTCATTCATATATACATATAATAAAAGCATGTAGTCACTGCCTATAGGTCAGACACCACATCTGTGGTTGCAGGCAAGAGTATTCAGGTAGGGATAACATTTGTGTTAATGTATGTCTTCCAGGCTTTGAAAGCAGCTGGTCAAATCTGGCTGCTGTCGAACTTTGATTCACAGGAGGACGTAGCCTACCCAAATGATCCCCGAGTGCCCATCAAGGTTGATGATGACCTCAAACAGCTCTTCCGGGGAATTGAATTGGCACGAGATATGATTGACATTGAGAAGGATCTCCAAAAGAATGGGATGAAGCCTGCCACAAACACTGCAAAGAGAAGGGCCATGGCTCAGGTTGACGGCATTGCCTCTAAGCCCAAGCCCAAGAAGAAGAACAAAGAAATCAGCAAGAGGACCAAGTTAACCAATGCCCACCTTCCGGAGCTCTTCCAGAACCTTAATGTTCCTGGTTCTTGATGGTGGATCAAGAGATTATGGGACACATTATGCTTTGGTTCAATCCGGTTGAAGGTTGATAGTATTTGCTCTAGTTACAGGCAGACCGGTGCTCCAGACGAGCCATGCTCTCTTTACCTTGCAGGAGTTAGCTTGCTACGAATTTTCACCATTCAACCTATGATATACTTGTATTATCTATTCTATAACAACAAAGAAGGGCTCTTTCGACAATGTCCACAATTTCTATAATAAGGTGTTGTATAGGTGATAAGTGAATGCTTTCAATTGCTACAAATAATTCTATAGTAATGTTGTATTATAGTATTTTAATAGTGGGACTTAGGATGCTTGAATGTCACAATCTTAAGCTAAGGCGGTGTTTGGCTTGAGCATGACTATAATCTCTGCCTCTTGTAAGGAAACCTGATTGTTTGGTTCCTCTTTGTTGGGCCTATACAAATGAAAAAGTCAAATATAGTTAAATAAAGTCCAACAAGGACTTTCAATCAGTATTTCATATGTAATAATAATAGTGTCCAACAAGACAAAATCTGTGAGAAGGAGAGAATCAAACTCAAGAATTACACATCTTGAAAGTAAATTGTCTTCCCAAATTTTGCTTCATTAACAATGAAGCTGAAAGGGTAATTAAGTAAATTAATGCCCATAATTAGGCGCCAACATAAACCCTCTTTTTTAAAATGATCTTTTTCCTGCACCACCCGTTTGCGCTGGAAGATCTTTACCACAACATCCGCTCTCCCCGATTCCCAAATCTACTGTCCATGTATATATAAGGTCTCTGTGCATATATATATATATATGTATGTACATATATATATATATAACGAACGTCACACTATATCGGAAGAGAGTTCAATTCAGAATATTTACAAACAAAATGTTCATTCAAACGCATGCCTGGGGTTTGTCTACCATTTATCCGATCCACAGATTCCGCAGGAACCCTGCTTCAGGAACCCCAGCTTCTGCGAGAAAACCCTTCAATGGTAAGTTCAATTTCTAATATTCTTCGTTTGTTTGTTTGTTGAGAAACTACATCAAATGGAAGGAAATTAGAATCTTTCCATATTCTTATTTCTTTAGAACTCGAGGAAATAAAAATCTTCAATCAACTGAGTCTGTTACCACTATTTTTGGCTGTTTGGGACAACTTATTTTTATTTTATTTTATTTTATTTTATTTTTCTCCCCAGAATCGGAATTATATGAAATTCATGATTTTGTTTCCTCCCTTTTACAATTTTTTCCCCGCATTCCGTGGTAGTTTACTGCTTTCACGTTTGTAGTTAATCCTGAACGTGGTTTCAATGGGATAATCAGGGTTGAAGTTGAATGATGTGCTGAACAAGGGGCTTTGCCATTGTATGTATTCTGGACTATTTGCCTCAGAATTGGAGAAACAGAATTATGGTGGTAAATTTCAGGCCTGTTTGGTTTAATTCTCTGATAACAATTTTCAGGGAGTCAAAAAACTAAAACAATTTCAGAGAACTTAAGACAGTTCCCAAACTTCATGCCTTCTTTAACTCAGGTTTCAAAAAACGGTTTTCAGAAAACTGTGAACCAAATAAGTTGCTAAATTGTTTTCTATTTTATAGTTCTATGAAAAACCAATAACTGTTGCCAATTCCACTTTTACTTGCTTTAAAGAAAGAAAAAAAAAATCCTCAGATAACTGCAGTAAGCATTTCTCAGAAAATTATTCTTGTGCTAATATGCATTTTCAAATTACATTTGGTTCATAATTATTTATATTGATTCCATATACCAGTTTTCCAATTGAATGGAGTTTCAAACACGAGTTTACGGAATATGAAGAATCAAGGTGCAAAATTTTCAGTTTCTGAGGGGCCAAACTCAAGCATTGGTATGGAGAGGAAAAGGTTCTTTTCTAGCTGTTATATTTCATATAAAATCATACATGATTATTTGATATTTATGCATTCCCAACAATATATTTACCAGATAGAGAGAATCATTTCCTTAGGTGACGCCACGTTTGCCCATTTTGCCCGGAATATACCATAGCTAAAGTTCACAACAACTGGTTGGGGTTCATGTGCAAGAAACTGACTTCAGAAAAGGGTATCAGGTTTGGTGAATAATTGGAATTGTGGTCCTAGAATTAGAACAATATGGAAGAAAATAGTTACGATTTTTGTAGTTTGAAGAGTTCTATGTTTATATGCATGAACTTATTTTGTAGTGATAAAAACAGGAATGGAAGTATTAAATTTGTTCTGTGACCAAGAATTTCTTATAAGAAACACAAATGTAACTCATTCTCTTATACAAGGTAATTAAGATTGAGCAAAGAGTTATAATTTCGTGGAGCATCGAGAAAGAATCTGTTAACTGTCATGGTCTAATGTCTTCAATTAGTAGATAACTCAAAATTGACTTATGGGCCAATCCACATTTCTTATAGTTGCACCACCCCTTTAATTTTAATTTTTAGTCAAAAGTCCTGCCTACATGAGTATTGGGAGGGGAAGATCAAAACAGACCTAATATTTGGCATAATTTTGCACAAAGTGGCTGTCTCATGCTCAAACTTGTATCCTCAATTTAAGAATTATGATCTAATATAGTCGGTTAGATCTGTTGACTGGCTTTGTCCTTATCTTGAATTGTCATTGTTACATAGATGAAGTTTTTGATTGAGTTAGCTTTCCGGGGCCGTTGAAAATTTTTCATCTTTTACAAGTATGAGGTTTTAGGCTACAATATGGTGATAGGTGGGTTATTTTCTCACAGAAAAGTTGTGGAACACATATGTCTGCTTAAAGCAAGGGAAGATTTATCCGATGAGGAAGAGAAGGATATGCTGGATTATCTTTATACATCCCAATATCAAATGGGTGGCATTGTTGCAATATCATTAGGTGAGTTTTTTCTTTCGAACAATAAATTTTTACACATTGTACACAGCTAGCATTACATGAAACTTGAACTTTTGAGTAACTATTTTTTGGCATTGATGGTTATTGCAATGCCAAGTGGCAGAAATGAATTCTTTAGAACATATGCCAGCCCCGTTATTCTACACTATCATTTTTCTTGCAGGCAACCTCCTTTTAACATCCTATGTTTTAATTTGTTGGTAATCATTTATGCCTGTCTACCTCTCCTCTTGGCTTATCTATAATGTGACCTGTATCAGGTCCAAAACAAATAGAGATATGTTTCTTTATTTTGAGATTGTAGAATTTGTAATACATTTGGTTTCACTGTTAAATTCTCTTAATTTCTAATGCGAACACTTGAGTACAGTATGTGGTTTTACAGTTATCAAATGTGCACTAGTACTTCAGTTTATATGCACAAACCCATTTAGGAATTGTGTAGTAATTCGAAAGGTCAGTAATGTATGTTTAATTTTATTCGTGTAGGACGTATCTCTGGTCGTAATACTGAAAATTATACCCATGCTGTCTACATGCGTTTCCAGAGAAAGGAAGACCTTGCAAAATTCTATGAGAACCCTTTCTACTTGGGAGTTCTCAGGGATCATGTAATGCCTTACTGCCATGTATGCCCTGACATGTAAACACCAACACTTTGTTCCTTGTAATTTTCATTTCCTTCCAAATTCCTGCTGACAAAACCTACTATTAATAACTTCATATTTCTGCAATTTCTCGGACTTACATTAGCTATGAATTTACAGGGGCTAATTTATGTGGATTACGAATCTGAAGTAGAAGACGATATTCTTCCTATATTTCGGAAAGGAGAGGTTGGAAACAACAGTCAAAATAACCTGTTCAATTCTCTTGATAGGGGATCTATTTTTTCATAGATGAAGTAAATGATATTGTTATTGATTATTGGAATTAATGTCTTCATTCTTTAACTTGCTTGGATCTAATTCACTGTTGTTTTTCCCTTCCAATTCTGTTTCCTGTTTCTGCAATCTGGTCACTGGTTCTTTGACCAACTTCTGAAGGAAGTCGTATTACTTTTGGTACCAGGAATTCAACTATGGTGTGGAATGCATTCTTCTTATTGCATTTGTTGAGAGTGCATTGGGCGCACCTGCTGAAGATGCACTGGCATCCCTGACAAAGCTGATGATGGATTTTCCTTCCTTGATTGTCCAAGCTACTAAAGGTGTTTTTAAAATGAATAATATTTTTTCATTAAATCATGAATTGCTATGCTGTTTGTTGGTCCTTCACGTGCTAATTAAAGGCAAGGTGAAGCATAACAGGTTGCAGTTAATGTATTTTGTTTCACTGAAGCACTTATGTTGCTTCGAGGGTGAGGAGACACCTGTTTGGCCTCTCAAATACAATATATTGTATTCTTTATTTTTTTGGATAAATGGGTGCAATTGTAAATCTTTGGGGATTTTGTGGATATCTTAAAACTATAGTAGTCGCCTTTGGCGTCTTGTGTATTCTTTTGGGTGCACTCGCCTTTAATGAAATCTTACTTGTGAAAAAAAATAAAATAATTTTTTTGTGTCTTTTACTGATGATAAAGTAGTTCTGCCCTTTTAATATTTGTCATTGTCGCTCATTTTTGTTTTTGTTATTCTGTGCTATTTTCAGGTTTAAATTTCAATCTTAGCAACACGGAATATACATATGGAGTCGTAATACGGTTTCGGTCATGTAACTTCTCTTTTGCTATCTTTAATACCCTACTGTTTGGCATATTCCTTTTGTTGAATACTTTTTCAATGAGCAATTTGTACGCTAATTGTTTGTTATATATTCTGCAGTTGAGGCCTTTGAAATATTCATGAACAGTTCAGAATACAAAGATGTGAGGAGCCCGATATGTTAAATTAGCATGTTTTCAGAATTAGTAATCTTTCTTGTTGACTTTTGGTATGAATGCTAAGTTGCTTTTGGCTGGCTTATGAGGGTATACTCTCCTATTTGTCCACTTGAGTCCCTTTACAAGTATGTCGATGTAGTGCAGAAATTTTTGTTTTTTGTCATGTTGGAAATGGTTATTGATGTTCAAATGTACTTCTTAAGTTGAAATAAACTCTAAATTCATTCAGATCTTCAAATCTGTTCTCAGGACTCATGGTTAATACTGGTTCTTGTGAAAGTTTTAAATCGTTGGCTTCACATGTGTTTGAATCCTACTCAAAACTGACACAATACTAGAAATTTTAATTAAACTAGCAATATTTGACAAGCTTATATAGTTTAGAAAATAATTCAGAAGACCTAATCTGCAATCATTGAAAATTTTGCTCTCTTCGGACTTGAACTTTCTTTCAATCCCAACGCTACTTGTTATAACTTTATATATGGTGAAGAGATGATGATTAGAGTCTGAATTATCTTTGGATTTGGTAAAAAACAGATGTGGGTATCTAAATTCCAGCAGATCACCGAAAAAATGCTTTCCATTCATTTTTCTGTAGATCCAGTGGGCACTGAGATAATGTAGCAAGGTTCCCTCACAGTCGTGGTATGTTATCCTGTTCCTTTAAGCTAAGGCATATACAAACAGATAAAAAAATATCTTACATTTTGCTTGTATTGATTGTAGGAGATCCCGAGAAAGGCATTCTTGCTCTGGTGTTGGTCTGCATATAATGGACAAGTGGGCAGGTAAGCCATTTAGAATTTGAGTTAACTAACATATATTTTCATCCAATTTTATTTATTTAAATATATCCATATAAATTTGTATCCAAGTTTATCTTTTTTTCAGCTACATTATATTTACATGTTCATCTCTTTAGTACATGTCAAATATAGATGCTTATTCATGTTGCATCTCCTTGAATAGCGGGTGAAAATGTGTACGGAAAGCTGTTTTTTGGTTGTGTCAATGTTCATTGATGTACTTGTATATCTAAAAATAACCTGCAAGATGTATACTTGCAAGTATAAACGTGTGCTTTGGGATCAAAGTCTGTTTTTCTTGTTTGGCTGCTTAAGTCAATGGCGTGCATATATTTGGTGTTGCCATGTAGGGACCAGCTATATTGTGCGAGATCTTGTGTGAAAGCAACATGGCTTAGATGATTCAAACGTTGTAATCAATTTCATTCTACTAAAGAATGATAGAGAAAAGCGTTTAAAATAATGATCTCTCTCTTGTTTGTGTCATACACTCTCACATAGGCCGTAGAATCAGTGTGTTAAATCCAGTATTAGGATTAGGAAAATTCTTAGCTTTGGACCCATGTAGTGATCATGCTGATCTGTCTGCACGTGTTTGTCTCACATGTCAAACTAACTGATTGACTTCAACATAAATCTTTCATTTTACTGTACTGAAACCACAAAACAAATTCTATAAATGTGGATTGCTTGCTTGAACACAAGTCTAGCTTCTCACATTTTCTTTGTCGTTTTTTCATGAAGTTACATCTTAGAATCCTCCCAAATACAGCGTGTGACCCCTCCCCTCCATTTATGCTGGCAGATAAAATAACGTACGAGTGCTAGGCTCTACAATATAAAAGACAAGAGTTGGCTATTATGTACTTGGAATATTTGACTTCTTTTGGTCCACTACAGTTGCTCTAACGTTTTCATACGTTTAGTCGGTGGCTGATCCAATTTAATTGGCCGTCAGTCGTACGTTAATCCATTGTTTTTTAGACACGACCTGCCTTCCCACTTTTCACCAGTTCTGACCTTTTGTCAAACTCTTTGTTGCCCATAATTATTTATTTTTATTTTTTTGAAAATAACTTATTCAAGCTAGTACGAAATTTGGCTCTTTAAGCACCGGATTGTCTGGATCGTGTGATGTGCTGCCGGAAAGAAAAAATTCCGGCAATATAGATGACTAAACGTCCTTGTATCTAAATATTTGTATATCATATACTATACTCTTATCATTCAATCAAGTATACTCTTATTATTCAATCAAGTAAACAAATGAGTTTTAAGTAACTACAATCTGACAATTTATTTCAACTGTATTTATCAATTATCATACATATTTGATCAACAAATACACAGAGAAAAGAAAAATTACAAAGTTTAAACACTACAAACTGCAAAATTCTGTATAACTAAAACAGCTCATAATCTCGAAGAAAGTACTTAATTGTGAAGTGGGTTTGGTCCATCTGGAACCGACCGGTATGACACTCCATACACTGGATTGGTCTCATAATTTCTGGCTCCCTTGGGAGCTGGCGCTGAGAAACGCCATGAAAACCGGGAATTGATCTCGTTTTTAACTCTCTGCTCTGTTCCTTCATTTGTAATTCTGTGGATGTGGCGGCAACTGGAGAGCTGGCTGACGGTGAGCATCACCGTGATGACCAGAAACGGAACCATGGGATATTGGATTCCCATGAATTTAATGATGAGCAATGGCCAAAAGACTATAAAGAGAAGCAGAGGAAGAAGTTGGAATTGGATTTGTTCACTGATGCAGGCTGTGGTGTGAAGTCTATTAAATATTGGCATCAGGCAACTGTGTTGAAGATGGGAGCCAAAGGCCTCATACTTTTTTATTTTTTAATTTCTCTGTTGAAATGGCAATAATGCCCATTTCTTTTTAGTGAAATTTCATTCATATCATTAACTACTACTACTACTCTTTAAGCTTTATTTGATGTGTGTTATGTATCACTACAGCCATTCTAATGGTTGATCATCTGTGATGCAGGTCAGTGTTCGTTCATTGATGATTCAAAAAGTTAAAAGATCAGCAAAAGCAATCCATTTCAATGCACACAAGAGGTGATTTGTACCCTTTTTTTTTTTTTTTTTTTTTTTTTTTTTTGATGAATATGGGGATGTCTTGACTAGTATATGATATACAAGAAGCTTGAAGGCTAACACTGTCAATTTGTATGTGGAGTGCCAATTTGAATAAAACCGTTTTCTGAATGGTTGTGAGCGTTGACTTGTATCAATTGAAATACATTGTCCATTCTAGTTTTGATAAAGTAACATGCTATTATAATTATTGGCAGAGACACAAACACGTGTTGTTATACAAGGGCCAATAGGTGGCAACACATGCCCTTGCACTCTGATCCAGTGATTGTTTAGTTGGGGGCACTAAGGAGAGACCATCTTTTTTATAGGAGTGATGCTTAAGGCAATATAGCTTGTAGACACCATGAAATGGTGGGTTCATCTTTCAACTTCAAGAAAGTAAGTTCTCATTTTGATGACATGTCACGAAAATGCGACACGAACTAAGAAATAGAGAGGTGTGGAGTGGTGGACTCTACACACTCTCCTCTCTCACTCGTTGTGGGAATGTCTGCAATTATAGTATTTAATTATTTGCTGGGTTCGATGAATCATGGTTATATTTTGTGTCCAAACGAGGTGGTTCAACTTTGATAAGTTTGGGTACACAACTAAATCGTGTTGGTAGACATTAAACATGAAAAGATTTACAGCATTGTCAGTAAAATTTGTAAAAAATGATCTGTTTTCAGATTCAAGATTTTGGTCCCTCATCAATCTTTGCTATTTTCAGTTACTGCAATCTTGTTAGGCAACATGGATAAGAAAGATTCTTGTTAGAGCTTGGTTAGTACTTTATTTCTATTTAAAATTCTATCTGGATAAATTTTTCCCCTATATAAATATTTTGAAATTGACATATAGCAGTAATGCCAAAAATAAAAATAAAATAAAATAAAATAAAATAAAATGGTAGAGTTGATGTTCAGATTAATCTACTCCGTGCTCAAATAATTGGCGCTTATGTAGTCTGTATTTGCTTATTTGATCTTATGCTATCTGTTAAAGAAATTAAGTGTCTCATAGTGGGTCCTAATAGTTGTATATCAAGAGGGTGGACCCAGAGTATATTTGACTAATGATGATGGCTATAAAAATGATTCTTTGGCCTATTTGTCTGGCATATGAGTTTTTGTTCTTCGATGTTTCTGGATGAACTCATACTTCAGTTTATGCATGGCAGGATGATAACTTTTAGGTTTACACAACTCGCCGCCATGAGAAATAGGTCTAAATATCATTACCCTGGCTGCTAAATGTTTATATATATATACACACACACACACATGCACTGCTCTCAATAAAATACTTATTTCCAGTCAGAAAATTTGAGGATATGGCCGATTAGTTTTGGCTTTACATTGAAAATTTTGTTGAGACTAGTGTGACTAAGAAATAGAGTCATTTTCCGGATCACTGAACAATTTTCAATGTAAATGTTCATATATATACACACACACACACACATATGCACTGCTCTCAATAAGATACCTACTTCCAGTCAGAAAATTTGAGGATATGGTCGATTAGTTTTGGCTTTACATTGAAAATTTTGTTGATACTAGTGTGACTAAGAAATAGAGTCATTTTCCGGTTCACTGAACAATTTGTCAGCAGTCACCCAACTTTGACAATTCTTTAGAAACATCACTGCATTGCATCTTTCTTTTCTGCATAATCCAAAATTTGATGCCTCGTATTTCTTTTTCCTAATAGGATATAGGAACAAGATCTGTGATTTGTTTAAACATAGATAAGAACATTTGTAATTATATAATTTATAAGGAGAAAAGGAAAAAAAAACAAAAAATGATTTGGTGATGTCACGCCTTGAATTCCACGACTCGGGTTGCGAAGGAAAAAAAAAAAAAAAATAGATAATTAAATAAATAAATAAATAATTATATTCACTTGAATAAATAAATAATTAATTGGAGAAAACCGGTGTCATCCACCAAATAAATAATAATAATAATAATAATAATAATAATAATAATAGTTTCATAAAATAAATAATAACATGATTAATTAATCATTTATATTAGACTATCCAAATGAACTCACATGTACACAAATTTAAACAATAATTGTTCAATCCCACTATATAAGTCATGGCCACCATGGCCTCATTACAATCCATAAGGTGAGAAATAATATTAAGGGATTACATAAGTAAAGATAAGAGAGGAAATTCCATAAGAACTCCAAAAGATAGATGGGTGAGTTCCTACGTCATTTCCCTCTTCCAAAAGAATATTACAAATATGTCATCAAATATAATATCCAAAATACACCATGTGTCAAAATACAAGTCCAAAAGTAAGCTATACAATGGATGTCACAATTATCACAAGTAGCTCAAAAATGTTGTCAAGATCCCAATCAAGCTAGGAATGAGGAACCTCCTCTTGGGCAATGCCTTTTTCTGAAAAATATAAGAATCAACGGGATGAGCAACGAATTGCTCCGTAGGAATGCCTCATGAATATAAATTAGGTTTCTCAAAATTCTACAAACATTGCATGGTCATACAATATAAGGAACATGCTCCGTAACGTCTAGTCTCAAGGGAAACCTAGATAGGATCATCCTAGTCTAGCATAAATAATATTAATTCTTTCATCAAAACAAACATAAGTAATAATGTGTAATGTATATAAATTCACAAGTTGCAATAACACATAAATGCCAACTTGAAAATAAAAGTTAAAATCAATTAACGGGATAACTCGGAACACACCCACACTCCCGGTTGCATAGCCATGCTATGCGCCTAAATAAAAATAGTCGTTTTCGGATTACTAGTCCGCCGGAAACTAATCGATTGGCCAATGTGAAGTGGGGAAACTCATGTTTCACCCGTGAGCACCGAGCCCTCGCATCTCAAAGTAACAACCCCCGAGTATCTCCCGAAATTAACAAACAAGTCCATAAAATAATCCATATTCCATGATATGCCCAAATTGCACTTTACATGCGCGCATAAATTATACTAATCACGCAATCCATGTCATATGGTCCAAATCACTATAATGGCATACTCTTGATGCAATGTCAATAAATTGGGTATTTTAAAGTCATTTAAATTCATGTTATCATTATATCAAATTTTAAGTGTGTAAAAGTTTAACATCATCATTAATATATACATCTTTAAAATTAACCTTCACAAAATAACAAATACATGATAATTCCATGAATAAACACAACATATAAGACACTTTAATTACAAGAAATTGTACACATTAAAATTTAGGACTTTAATTAACATCCATAATATCAACAATGGAACAAATAACATATTACACATGAAAATTGATATAAAAACTCAATAAAACATTATGGACATGCAATTAAATCATTGTATAAGCTCTCTAATTAAACCCACACACACAAGTGTATGCATAACTCACACAATGGTCATAAAATTCCAAGAACTCCTAGGTTATAAGCACAATACACCCCTATCTCAAGCTTGGAGCAAACCCTAGCTACTCCAAAAGAAAAATGTGCTCCAAATCCAAAATTGATTGAGGGGTTTTGTTCCTCTCGTAGTCCCCGTCAATTTTCCTTCTATGCAAGCTCAAAATCTCAAATGATGGAGAAATGGTTGAAGTAAAATGAAAAATAAAAGAATGGGAGAGAGAAGAAAGTGTGTCGGTGAAGTAGGAGAGTGAGAGGATTTTTGGACTTTTATTCCACTTTCTCTCTCTATACAAACACACATATACATATCACACACATTCCTATCCACACATATCTTACCTATTAGTCAACCTAGGCCCCATAACAAAACAAAATGCAATAAAAAAAATAAAATAAAAGAGGAAGAAAATAAAAATAAGACTTGGTCATCACAGGTGACATCAGAGAAGCCTTAACTGTAGAGTTTACGGAGCTATTTTGCTCAAATTAATTATGAAAAATACTATATCTATACTCAAATGTGGATTTGAGTTTAAGAAGCAATTTTGTTCAAATTATGACAAATGCTAGATCTGTACTTAATCTAATTTAAAGAAGCCTTTAAAACAAGTCCAAGATTGAGTAATTAACAAAAGTTAGGTAGAATGTAGAAAATAAAAACATTTTGAAAGCTACATTTACATCTAATGGAAAAGCTAAAAATACAGTACCTTACTCTAATGTTGCTGCAGTTTTACAAACATGGTATCCCAATTTCGAAACACAACCTTCTTCTAAAGGAAACCATTTTATCACTTGATTTTCATCAGAAAAGCTAATACTTTGACACAAGACACATGATACAATTCAAAGTTGTAGTTAATATTACTATTTTTCCTTTGAAACATATAATTAATATAAAGTGGGGGATGCCAACAAATAATTAATATGATCCAATACTCGCATGAATGGTGTATCCCGCATGAAATGCTTTTGTGTTACTACTATAAATTACATATATGTGTGTGTGTGGGTCTTTCATGAACACACACACTCACACCATAGTGTTATATATACAGTTATACTATAGTTTTATACATATATAATACGAGAGATTTCTCTGTAAATTTCACCCTACCCATACATAATCAACCAATCTAATGCTCTATATTTTCTAAGAATGTCCACACCAATTTGCAATGGATGGTGCTAGGAATTGATTAAATTGAATGAAAAAATAAATAAATCATTTGATAAGCTGAAAAAAAAAAAAGAAAAAAAAGACCACTGCTTTGGACAAATATTAGGATTTATTTATTTTTAGAGTGGAGAGATTACGACTACAGAGAGCGTACATAAATAGTGGTTTATCATTTATTTGTCAAAGTCCAAGACTATTATTGTCTTTTCACAAATCAAAGTCAATTTAGTCATTTTAGAAATTATCATTAATGGATCTGACAAGAGAGAGAACGGGAGGAGGATAGTTGAGCAAAAGTGTCAAACTTCAGGAGAGGGAAAAGTAATAAGTCTTAAATATTCTATCCAAATATAATTTAACAACACCTCAGGAAAAAATAGTGTAATTTATCCAAACTTTAAATGGAAGGTTATAAACGAAGGTCAGTGTGACAGTGACTCGGAATAATTTATCACGTAGTATACTTCCCGTTTTTGGCTGTTTTTGGGGACCGTTTTGCTTATTTGGGCGGTGATGATTTGATGTAATAAAAACTCGCGCAGGTTTGGTGTGAGGGTGGGGGGAGGTTGCCCCGCATCGTCTCGCCCCGTTTAGATGGACAAATTACTTAAATACCTTTATTTCATTAGTATATATATTTCCCACTACATATTAAATACCCTATATAATAATATTAAAGTAACAAATAAATTTAATTAAAAGGGAAGTTGCAATGGTGAATAATTGAAAATGAGGGAAAAAAAAAAGGAGCAAATCTATTTCAACAATAAATATATTAGGGTCTTAAACGGGGCGTGACGGATACTCATGGGGTAAAAATGTTAAACGGTTATGGGGATGAGGTGAAAAGTTCCCCGTTTTCGTGGTTTTGAATGAGAATAGGGGTAGAGTTTTTAAACAGTTACAGGAGCAGGGGAGGGTACACCCGCCCAAACCCGCCCCCATTGCCATCCCTATTTAGGGGTGGCTAAAGATAGGATAGGATCAGATATCAATTCTAATTTGATCCACTCCGAATTAAGAAAATCTTAATCTGTTACCGATTCGTTATTCCATTGATTGGATCGAATTGAATGTGTGGATTAAATTTTTCTAAATTATTTATTATTATTTTAATAATTAATAATATTAATTATATGATAAAATTTTAATTTATATATATTAATTCATATATTTAAATAATTATTAATTAAATTCATTAAATTATCATTAACTAATTAAATTAACTAATATATTTTCGTTTTAAAAAATATATACAAATTTCACTCGTTGGATTGGACTCACATATCGGATTGGATGCCTTGAAACTTATAAAAGCTTCACTTGACTTTTGAGGAAGAAAAAGGTGTTAATGCGGGGTTTCAAAGCACCAGGGAGATGTGACACTGGTAAAAAAAAAACGCCATTTTGCATCATAAAATAATAGAAGGAAAAGTGAAAAAAAAAAAAATTCATATTTACACTTGAAATCAAAATAGGACCATTTTGTTATATTATATAAAGGCTTTGCATTTAAATTGTACTCATTTACTGTTATATCAAAATTATTATTATTCTGTTTAATTTTAAAGATGTTTTGTTTTTAAACCCCAAATCCATGTTTATTGTACGTACTCCATATTTCCCCGATCTAGACTATGGTAATTCTTCCTTATTTTCCTCGTTTTTTAAAAATGCTCTGTTTGATATTTTAGTTTCTGATCTGCATATTGCTATTTAAAAAAATTTAATGTTGTCCTTTGTGTGGTTTTGGTTGATGTTGATATTATTGTAACAATGATAGGATAAGACTTCGACAGAGGAAGGTAGAATTGAATATATGATTGAGCACGATGACGTGGATAAATTTGGTACCATTTTAGAGAAGTCATTGGTGAAAAATTGTGGCGAGTCATCTAAATTGATGTTTGGTGAATTAGAAGTATGTCCTTATAAACTTTTGGCATGGTGTAAATATAGTGCTGTACATTGTGGTACTGCATTGGTTGAAGGTCTGAAATTAGATCTTAACGTTCCGATCAACCAAGGATCTTTTCCGCTGCATGAAGCAGCAGCTTCTTTATCTGCTCCCTTAATTAAATTATTTCTTAGCCATGGAGCTCAGGCCGATGTTCCATGCAATTCTGTTGACTCAGACCACAATGGGATGCTCCCTCTCCAAGTAGCACTTGAAAGACTAAGGTAAAACTCTGTTATTGAATTTCGTATTATCCTTAAGCTCCTTTTACATATACTAGGTCTGATGAAATTCTATTTATTGTTCTAAATTTCCAATTTCGTGCATTTTTTCTTTTCATTCTTGGTGTAGGTGTAATAAAAATATGATCCGGTGGTATAATACGTATAATAAATCTATCTTCAAGTTGTTCATCATACTTTGCCACCCAGAACTGGTTCGTCTTTTATGAAAGTTTGTTACTAATGTAAGTTGTACGTAATAATATTTTTATTTATTTTACTTGGTGCTTGTTTATATTCTCCAAAGAGTAATGATTTTTCAGACATAAACATCAATGCCGTCTTAGGATTGTGGTTTAGTCCAAACCTATTAATAGGTTGGACGAAGTACTGCCATTTTCTTTCTCCATAATGGGAACAAAATATGACTCATCAGCTGATGCATTATAACTTATTGGATTGGTATTTGTTGCACCCTTTTTAGGGCAGGAGTTACTTTTGTTTCCAATGTTATTTCTTCCCTTCTATGATTCTACGTATTCATATATTAATTACAACTGCTCCCTTACAGGCAACAATAAAACAGTTTGCCGGAAAAGTTGCTCGGAAGCTCAGAAGATCAGGCTACAGTTTAACATCTTTCGACACTAATTTTAGTGATATAGGAGACCGGTATTTTGTTTTCGCTCTTCATTCATTTTTGGTATTGTTTTTCTCTTCTTTTTTCATCCTTAATTAGGGTCCAGAAGGTAGTAAAGTCGCATCTCTTGTGGTGGTTTCTTTGTTGTGACATGCATGTACTCTGCGATTGCAAAAGTTGCCCAACTGAGAATTTGGAAATCGCAAAGGGAGATGTTTCCAAGCCATTGTACCCATATCGCATCATTGTAAGAAACTACAAAATTATTTTTTTTGGCTCATTTTTCTTTATCCTTGTTCCTTTCGTTTCTCGATTTACTCTCATAATTATTGTTAGAAATGTTTTCTTTGAGCTTTTATATAGTGCCTTAATGAATGATTTGTTTATTTTTTTTTTGTTTTAACTATTTTGTATCGGTTTATTTTGCAAAATATTGTTTTAAAGATGTTGAAAAGAAAGGTTGATGCTGAATTATACCTATATCCTGATAAATTTCTTGACAACTATAGGTACTTTTTTTTCTCGTCAAAATCTTGGGTTACTAAAATGTACAGTAATCTAGTATATTCTCTGCCAAAGAACAAAAGCTGTGCATAATTTATGTTTTGGGGCTGTCAAAAGAATTTGTTGTGTATTCTTCTTAGTTTTGAATTTTGCATTGTTCATACAAATTGACATAACACCTTTCTTTTCTTTATTTCAAGTGGAAGACAACACATTTAGTGCCAAATGAGTATTGGAGGATGACACGGGGAGGCATCAGACGTGTGCCTTATGCTGTCCTACCATTGCATGCGTCCTGGAATGGAAAAGCCAGTTTTCAATCTGGGTGTCTAAAAGCAACGGAAGTTCAAATGAAAGAAAATTTCTTTGGGAAAAGGCAATATGCTGCTTCAATCAAGCAATGGGTTTCCATCGCAATAGTGGTCAAGAGGGGCATAAGATGCCTATAACTTTCTCAACCGTGTAAACCTTCCATTTCAATTTTCAATGGTTCCTTTCTAATCTATGATGTGAAATTAACTATCTTTTTTTCTTTTTGATTATTTCTCTAGATATGTTTGATTTGCTTGCATACATATCATAATTTCTTGTTCATTGTTAGATATCTAGCTGTTAGTTGTCAACCCTTTTTCATTTTTATTTCTTTTCCTTTCTTACTTTTAAATATTATAACGAATACGTGTCTGCTTGAGTAGGATTACAGGTCTCCTATATGATGAAGTCTACTTACGGGTAAGAAGACAAGTATTATTAATTTTGTATTTCTTAAATCTTCCAATTTATACTATTTAATAATAGGGTATAATGCGAAAAAAAAAAAAAAAAATCCTTGGGGAATCAGCAACTAACCAAATTGCGACTAATCCCTTGAACTATACATTTTTGTTACAGTTTCAGTCGTATCTTGGAGTTAAAGTGATCCATGTGGCAAGGACAACTGAC